CGATAATAATTGCCTGTGTATGATGTTTAAAAAATTAATAATCGTATACTGCATTTTATAATTTTATATACGTTTATTCAGTTCCACGCTGAACTGAAGGATGGGGTCAAACAGTAACATTTTCTTGCCGATTGTAGAAGGATGAAACACATGGTTGGTACAAAAGGAATTCGATACACGTAAACTTCTTACTCTCGTTCCTCTCTGCGATTCGAGGTTGCTTTTAAGGCCGTCCATTTCCTCGGCTGGCTATATTCTCAGCATTGTTCCTGCGTCGCATCATGACACGAATTCCCGTCCCAAGATTTGTGATCTCTTAGAATTGCTTCTTGTGCCTTAAACATAAACGCGTATATTGCTTACTCCCCGTCTCATCTTGGCAACCGATTTTATTTTGGTCATTTCACCTGCAAAGCAATCCGGCACGATTATCTGTTCCGATTAAGAAATACGTTTCGTGTCCCGGTCGATTCGTATTGATAAATCAACGATAAGCGATTGACCAGCAATAAAAATCGAATGAGACAGTTTCAGGTTGTAAATAAGTTTTATCTCAAGTCTGCTTTAAATAAATATTATTCAGAAATTACAGTTCGATTAAATTATTTAAAAATACGCTCGTTCATATTTTTGGACGCTGCCCACCCTTCGCAGAAAGTGAATGCCCCAACGTATGATCGTTTCGCGGAAAGGAAAAGTAAAAGTTCGTTTAGCACGTATGTGCTATAAATAAAATGTAAGAATAACGTTGTTGTTAACAGTAGCCACGTTACTTTTACGTGGAACTGTGAAGTATATCTGTTTCCTCGTTACTGGGGACGATTATTACATTCGAGGCCAACAAACCGTATGAAATGTATTCATTTCTCGACACACTGTAGATACATTTCCTATCACTAATTTATATTAATAATTATTCATATGGTGTGTGATTAATCCAAAACTAGAAACTTGAAGATTTTAATTAAATCACGATTTTATTCAATAAGTATATAATGTATTATTTTGTTTTTTTAATACATGTGGTTGAGAAATATTTGCTTCTTCTTGGTGCTGGTATTAAAATGGTTAGGGAAACGATTATAAAAAATTGGAACAGTAGGAATTACGTTATGCGTAGACACCTGCCTCTCCGAAGATTATGTCAAGGCTTATAATAGATTTCATACCTGGTTGCATTCGTGTTTTTACAGTAACGTCAGTCACGTTGGCTCGCGACACACGTTATCTTATCGGTGTTCTTTCTTGCATTTATAAGAACGTTCATACGGAGACACGTGGAAATAACGTTTCTACTACTAGTAATTTTATATATTTCTTCAATTGAAAACAGAAGGGAGGGACAAAAAATACATACATATTTCAAGTGTAACTCACCACGTGCGTCAAATGAAATTTGCATATGAATTAAATCTATGATCAAACTTAACAATTGCGTCTACGAATTTATTTTCATAATTCATAATCTGCATTGCTATGCATAATAGGTATTAAACAATTTTATTGGTTTTGTAATTGTGAATGCTACTTTTATTAGTATAGACTACTGGATATCTTACATACGATATCTTGTACACACTGGATTGAAGAATGATGTCATCGATACGAGAAAAAGTGGATTCAAGGATTTCTATATTTTTCTCAGTTAGTTAAAATAGAAGTGTCAATTTTTCGAACAATTAGTTTATAGATCGCACTGAAAATTTGATATCGCTTGGTGGCATGGTGACACGGTTTTGATGCTTCGTATTTACAGCTTGGTGACGTAACGAGACAAGATAGGCGCGTAGTGATTCATAGGGAATTGTCTTTCGATCACCTTTTTTTTCTACGCAGCTGATTATGTAAAGATGATGTGTAAAGCTTCAATTCACGTCCTCTGGTTTTGTGTCAATGTCGATGATTAATTCAACTACAAATACATTAATCTCTTAATCAGGTTCAGAGTACTAAATAAAAATCTTATACCCAGGTGGGTGCAATTTTATTATTCATGAAACATACTAGGTTTATCAATTTACTTTCTCTATTTCAATATCTATGATGATCGATGCAACTGCAAATTGGAACAAGGTACAAACTTAATTGAGTCCTTTGGTGTACTGATTAAAAGTGTCTTTCGTTCTTGATGCGTGATAGGAATGAATAGAGGCTGTGTGTGCTTTAAACGTACGAATAGGTCGTGAAATTTCCGGTAGCAATAACGCTTAGAATCGGCTAATCGGCACGAGTCCGTGGCGCCTACTCGAAGGTCCCTCTGTGGTACCAACGTCGTGCTTATCGAGCTGGTAGAGCAACATTCCACGCTGCTGCCAGAATGACCGTATATACTCCATTCCCCCGTGCTCTCCTGCGAAAGGATTCTCCGTGGGAAGGTGTACTGGCTATCCTCCATACACTGCCGTTCAAAAGTTTCAGTTCTTAACATAATCTCCTTACCTATTACTCTAGTACATTGTTGCATATTATGTATAATGACAAGAATAAAAAATTGGAAGCCTTATTAACAGTTGTATGGTTCTTTATTGTAAATATATAAATGATACAAGATACAAATTAGTAGTTTTTTTTTTATGAAGAAGAAGAAAACAATGCATTAATTTATAAGGTATAATAAAGGTAATTAGTATTGGTTAATGGAAAACTTTTGAAGGGCAGTGTACGGAGGCGTGCATCGTAGAGACGTGAAAGGCGAAGCAGGAAACCATTTCGTTCACCTGTTCCAGTCGTGGTTTGGGACGCCGAAAATCGAACACCACCTCCATGCTCCAGAGCCTTGATCCGACCTTCTCCTTCCTCGCGGAGGAACGTTAAAGACCCCCTCCCCCCTCCCCACGGTTCTCCGGCCTGGCAGCATTCCACGGCCTACGCTTCTTCTTCTTCTTCTTCTTCTTCTTCTTCTTCTCCTCTTTTAAACTTCTTTCCTCCTTTTTACCGGTTTTACTCGGTACCGTGTTTTTCTTCTTCGATTCGTTCGCTGACTCCGCTAGCTCGTACCGCGTGTAGTAAATTCGCCTTTTTTTTTTACACGCATCGGTGAGAAGTCAGCCTCCCGACAGGTGATTAACAGTGCGTCGGCTCTCGAGAGAAGCCCGCCCTCCTTAACTCAATTAAGCAAATAATATTGTAATTGCATTTGGCGCTCATTCAACCTCATTCAACATGTACAAACTTTTACGATTTCATTCGGCGAAATACTTAATTGAAAATCGATAATCCTATTGTCGTTAATTATGTTTTTTGATTCCTTGAGGGACATGTATTTTTATCGTCGATCTATATATTTTTAACACGGTTGAAGAAACGATGCACTCGAACGAGTTTTGCAATTGATACAACCAGTTATGTACTGGATTGCGTAATTGCGTTTAACCCTGGCGATATTGAGGCAACGTGGCACCATTAGCGACCGCTTTTGTTTAATAAAACAGCTGAGCTCGCAGTCCGAACGTCTTGATTGCGACCAGACGATGTCATAATTCGTTCAGATTGATACTTACTTAACCGTTACATACATCTCTTTTATCAATGCCACATAAGATTGAAGAATTTCCTATTGTGCTGTTCAACTCATGCAAATTAGCAATATAAATGCAAATATTGTTATCTCAGATTCAAAATAAAAATTCAGAATTATTGAAAGAATTTTCTCGTTTATATTAGATAAAGGTCCGAATTTTTGTTCACTCAACAATTTCTATTTTTCTTTTTCTATCATTTTATATATAATCATAAACCAGTGAGTAGAAACTGTGAACAGAATCGAAATTAACAGAGAATCGATCAGGAAAAGCTAAATAAAAATGGGTTCCTTTCCATTTTCAGTTCGAAAGACATTGGAAAAATATGGAACGAGGCGGCAATCTCATAAAAACATAACGCTTCCAATTTTCTTCTTTTTCACGTGGTGTTCTCGTTTCCAAAGCATAAATCTCAATCGCGGGCAATTGGCCTCTACAATAGTAATCGTACTTCCTACCTCTTTGATATTGTTTGTCGCTATTAATGGTACCGCAGCCCAGGCTGCATTATGATTAACGAGCGCCGAGAAGGAGAGAGAATGAATTCCTACTATACGTTTCTTCCCAGTTACCGAGAAGTCTACAATAACTCATGGGGCAATAGTTCTCGATTCGCTGAATTCAATTCCTCCTCTACTTTTTCCGAACCTCTCGACTAACAATAAGGCATTCCTTGGCAAGTTGCCGATTATGTCCTCGCGCAATGGTAAAACCCTGTCGTTCCATTAAACGAAACCACTTAAATTGCTTTGGAAAAAGAACAGCATTTATTCATTAAACAGATAAACAACTATAAATTTGCAGAAAATTTAAAGTACAACTTTTGAGATTAATTTCTCAGATTGATACTACGAACGAAAGTTTTATACCATATAGCAATTTACTTTTAAAACCAATGTTTCGTCAATCATTTTTACCAATGCAAGCAATTTTATTATTCTACCTGCAAACAGTTCCAAGTTTCAGTTACATGAATTATACATGAACGCGATCAACCTCTATACGATAGACTATAATTGAAGCCACAAAGTTTCGCGATTCGTGAAATCAAATTTGCGTGTACCAGATTCGGAGAACGCAATGAATCCGCAAAGTTGTATCACCTAATTGTCTATAATGTTGATTCAATCCTACGTATATTCGAACTGCGCGCTCTGTGGCGCAAGACGTTTAAACGAGATCATACGTAAATTACTGTAATACTTTGTCAGATATAATTATATGATTATGGAAATAAGAAGATTTCATAGTTGGTCAGTCATTATTATTGTGTTCTAATATATGGAATTAAATAAACTGCAAAAAATAATACATAAAAATGTATCAAGGGTACGAGTTAGGAATTTCTGATATATTTCAATCGAATGAAGCATTACACTATTATAGGATTCGTGACATGTACTGAAAATTGGATATCGAATCAGGGCAGTTGTCCAATACGAAATCTGATTAACTATTGCAGATTATCTGCGAGTAAATAGTTACAGATTTGTACTACTTATTGGCATTACATAAGACAGAGTAGTTTATTTACTGAAACAAAATGTAATTAGAGAACAAGTATAAGGAATTAAAATGTGTAATTAATACGATCACATAAATTGCAATAAATTAAAAATAAAATACACATAATTAGTAGATGGGATTAATAGAACGGTCGATTTTGATTCGTTTGATTGCAGGTGAAAGGAATTTCTCGACGTAGGCTAGGATGTCACATCACAGCGACGACAACATGCTGATAGCTACCTCGGACTCCTTTTGGGAGCCGGGCAACTACAAACGCACCACCAAGAGGATCGAGGACGGGCAGAAGCTCTGCGACAGTCTGATAGCGTTGGTTCAAGAGCGAGCGGAGATAGAGAAGAGTTACGCGAAGGCGTTGAAGAATTGGTCGAAGAATTGGAACGACAAGATCGAAAAGGGGCCGGAGTACGGGACCACAGAGGCTGCGTGGAAGGGTGTGCTCGTTGAGTCCGAGAGGCTCTGCGATCTTCACCTCAGGGTCAAAGAGAATCTCTGCAACGACATCATACAGCAGGTGAAAACGTGGCAGAAGGAAACTTATCACAAGGTGCGTTCCTTTCATCGATGATCAAACCTACTCTTGTTCGACAAGTCGAGAGCGTTATTTTAATTTCTATCTATTCCCTTAGCTTCAACTGTTTCTTGCGTGTCGAATTAACTTCATTTCATTTCATTTCATTTTCTGTAGTCTTTTTATAAATTCAAATTTATTCACTTATAATATGATTTCCTTTAATTAAATTAAGTTTTTAGTTGAACGAGATGTTACTTTGATTTCAGTCGATGATGACGCTGAAGGAGCGCAAGGAGATGGAGGACGCGTTCAAGAAGGCTCAGAAACCGTGGGCGAAGCTCTTGCAGAAGGTAGAAAAAGCTAAGGCCGAGTACCACAATAGCTGCAAAACCGAGCGGACCGCGGCGAACATGGAGAGGAACGCATCGGCGGACAGTTCGCTTTCCCCTGACCAGGTACAAAACTATAATCGTCCTATGCGTTTGTTGGTCACAGTAATAATACGTATAAAACGGGTTGCACCATCTCTCGATCATCGACGATTAGCGCAGTTATTGTTGCGTCGTTGCGTATTCAAATCGTCACGCTCGCTTTCGAAAGGTGTGATGCTCTGTCGTGAATTGAGTAACGTCAGAGTCGATTTAATCTGTTAAATAAATTGTTAAATAATATACTATACTTCTTTTAAATTAAAAAGAAGAGGCGAGTTAAGAAATTTTGTAACACATCTTCGAAGCGATTTTCAACACAGAATAATACATAACGGTGTTTAAATGTGTGCAACACTAATATAATAAGAATAGAATAGTGTATGCATTTCATGCATTTCGCGGCTCCATATGACGAAAGTAGATACTACTGTTGTTCTTTAGCAAGTATTATTTTCAGATGGCCCGAGGCTCTGAAAACGTATGTCGAAACAAACAAAAATACCTCGTCTTTTTTAAATCTTTATCGGAAACTCTGCATGCCATGTGTTCCTATTTTGTCGTTGACAGTTCTATCGATATTATACATTCATACGTATCTTTTTTTCCACGGAAATGCTCGCGCGGTTTTTCCTTCTTTTTTCCTGCATGCCACGAGTTCGTTTCATGTTTAATTAGAGAACTGAGTATCGTTAAGTACGTGTGAATTGTGTGAATCACGTTACACAAGTAGAACAGTTAATTACAATTGTTTAATTGTTAATATAAAATGTGACAAGTTTTCAACTGTCGAAATGTTCATATCTTTGGTGTGAAAATATTTGCCTGCCTTTACTTTGATACAAAGAATTGGATGCCCGCTCTGAATTATTACGATTAAAAGAAAGAGAATTGTCACGCGTCTCGGTGTTCGAAAATTGCTGAGTAGTCGCCGAACGCGAGAGGCGATCATCTGAAAGAAGGCTAACGACGTTTTTAGATGACAGTTTGTGGATGTGATGCATGGGGCCTCAGAATACGAAAAGCCTTTAGGAATTCTAAAATAGGAGACGTTCAGCTTGTATGTATATTGATAACTGCATGCGGCATGTGTATTAACGTTTCTCTTTCGTTTTTCTTACATTACAGAAAGCTCTGCTGGTAAGCGAATTCTCTGTTTCTACATCAATAAATGCATGCAAACATCGAGCTCTCATTTAAAAGCAATATTTAAGTAGTTCAACAAAAATGCAGTAACAGATCTAGCGTATTGTAAAAATTTCGATTATTCAGTTTTAAACTGTTATCTTTCCAAGAATGTATCGGTAGATATTGTAAGATTTTTCACGAGAAATTTATCTCCGTTACATTCCAATGTAATCAGTTGTTTAATGTTGAATTCTCCGATTTTTCTCTATCACGCTCGATGCTTGCTTATCTCTAAAGATTCTACATCCTAAAATAATACATTTCTTTCTCTAGACGTATAAACTCCGAATTCTTATCAACTAGTACGCTTCAATTGCTTTGCCAGCTTTCCTTAGTAATTTCAAGCCACTGTAAATTAGTTTGCTAGACCATTATTTTCCAAAATCAAACGAATTTCCATTTCTCAATTTCAATGTTACAACACTTCAATTATTATTATAACAATTTATAATAATTTAATATTATACAGCACTTTCGAAGATCTGCACCCTACGTGCTGCTTATAACTGTTACATGTATCCGTAGAAATCACGCTACCCTTTGTTTAAAAGGTATTCATTTTCACGAATGTACGCTAGGTAAGCTTGAGGGTAAAGAATTGGAAATTGAACGTTTCTTTTAAAATCAAGAATGCCATTACGAAACTGTTATCTACTCGTTATACGTATAGCTGAATGATCAAAGCTGAGAACAACTCTCTTTCATCGTCTTTTTTCTCTAGCTTGCCAACGTGTTGGGTTTGTACCAAGATCTTTACCTTCAACGTAGTCCACGAGATTCATTGTTATTAACGGGACGCGAGTTGTTTAACGGAGACGTTTGTAATCGACAGGTGAAGAAAATGCAGGACAGGGTGCAGAAGACGAAGGAGGAGGTGCAGAAGGCGAAGGAGAAGTACGAGGCGGCGTTGCAGGAGATCAATCAGTACAACCCGAAGTACATGGAGGACATGACCCAGGTGTTCGAGAAGTGCCAGGAAATGGAGGCGCAACGGCTGCAATTCTTCAAGGAGGTCCTCTTCGGCATCCATAAATGCCTCAATATATCTCAGGATCCAATGTAATTATACTCGATTTCACAAATTGAGACAGTAAGAAGCATTGCTATTAGACATAATGTAGGAATTCAATTTATTACGAAGTTTAACAAATTAATTAATACTTTAATTCTGATTTTCTGGCTGTTTGAAATCTTTTTATTATGTATGATTTATCCTACATTATTTATTTTACAGACTTCCACAAATATATGAAGAATTCTATCACACGATCAACAATGCGGACCATGAGAAGGATCTGAAGTGGTGGTCGAACAATCATGGTGTAAATATGGCTATGAATTGGCCGCAGTTCGAGGTAAGCCGATCGTATGCAAACGTAAACGTTTCGCAATCTACTCTTTTTTTATCGCATGTACCAGACCTTGCTCATGGTTGGAGATCTGATGTTAGAAAGACATAGACGTAGCGTGTATTACTGTATTGAACGTTATTATCTTTCGCCCTTTCCTTTTTCTTTACATAACTGCATTAATACATTGTTAGCCATAAACTGTGTGTACGCCTAGATCAGTTTTTACTTGAGATAATACAATTTTATTATTTGGTCAAAATCTCTTTTTTTTTTACTGCGATTACATAAAAATGTTTCTCAGTGCAGCCTATTAAACTTACGATTTTTTTTATCAACATTGTTGGCAATTATGTTTAATAAGAGTCGAGGCTTCGTTGTGAGGAAATTATCGTGTATGAGAAAAGAATCGAAGAGAATCCCGTATAGACGAACTCCCCGGAATGCATGCATGTGATTGTATTTTTTTTGGGGCATTGCTATTACGCAGGACTACACAGAGGAGTTCCGCGACATCACCAAGGGCGCGAAGTCGAAGGAGGCGCTTCCGGCCGGCTCCATCACGCTCATCAATCAACGCCCAGTCGGCGAGGATTTGCATGTAAAGTTTTGTTACTTTCTTTTACATTTATCCAAATCGCGTCCCCGTCCGAGAACCGTTCACGCATATTGTGAAAAAAAGAAAATCAAGCTTCCCTTTTTGTTTTTTCCTCGATCGGACGAGCGCTCACGAAATAATGTCGTAACGGGCAAGCGCGACGAGGTCACCGAGGATGAGTTTCCTTTTACAGCTTCTCTCGTTCGCCTAACTTAACTGAATTAACCGTAACCCGCTGTGCGCTTCTATGTTGTTGCACGTAATCGCCTAGATCTATAGACTCGCCAAGCACAATCTGCTCGAGCATGCTTCGAGTGTCGAGCTCGATTTTCAAATCGAATTTACGATGAGATTTCACCCTGTCCCATTTATTTCATTTCTCTTACTACAAACTAAAATTAAAAAACAATATACATATAAATATATTAATAAATCGAACATAGTTGATTGCATGGTTCAAGATAGAATACGCCATTTAACTGAAATATAAGAAAAATTATATGTACAGCTTGAAGAATTTATTTAAAATAATAGAGAATGTATACTGACGCGTTTAACGTAATGTAGGAGTACCCGCCGGTTAATAACAAATCAAAATCGAAGCCCAGTTCGCGGCTCTCGACGGACGGTGGCCATGTGGACAGCAAAACGGATACGATTAGCTCTAGCAAAAACTCCTCGGAGAAGAATAACCACGACGGCAATACCGTAAACAGGACCTCGACGATCACGTACGTATTTAAAAGACCATTCTGAATATTCCGTGCATAATAAAATGCAGAACTTATATCACAGACGAAGTGAATGGTCAGAGAGGGTACAGTCTCATGTCTTTATATATTTGAATATATAAAAATGTTTTCCAGCAATGGTACGAATGCTAAGCAAGAATCAAACCCATTCGAGGAAGAGGAATGGGACGAAGATAGTGGCGAACCTCTGGTAGATAATGGAGAACCCGGTGTGCTCGTACGCGCGTTATACGACTACCAAGGAGCAGAGGCAGACGAACTTAGCTTTAAACCAGGTATCCAAAATTCAATGATTTTCCCTTCTGACATTTTAACAACCAGTGTTTTGATACTAAAAGATTTCCAGCGAGTTTAAAGAACACAGAACTAACTTTAATTAGATTAATAGGAAAGCGATTTGCATTTTTCAATTCTTAAAGGTGACGTATTCGATAAATTGGAAGACGAGGACGAACAAGGGTGGTGCAAGGGACGAAAAGACGGCAGAGTGGGCCTCTATCCCGCGAACTACGTAGAGCTTGTGTCTTCGTAAACGAGTCGCGAGGCGGTAGTAAAAAGCTAAGTCAAATTTCATGAACACTTGAATAGTTACTTAACACACGTACGAAAGAACAGAAAGAGAGAGAGAGAGAGAGAGAGAGGAAACTGTTTACATTTGTTTTCGATTTTCATGTATGAAGTAGCGCGTTCGTTGAAGAAAATTTGTAAATGTCGTTAGGTAAAAGTTACATGAGACTCTATATTAGAGATCGTTCGTTTTGTGTGATATATAATCGTTATTGAAAAAGAAAAAACAAGCTGAAGAGAATAAATGTTGCACGAGTTTCAAATGTTAACAAGTTAACGACCGAAACAATATATTTTTTCTTGTTTCTTTGATGTAAAATTGGCGAGCGACAGTGTTTGAAATGAATACGCGTACTCCGACGGGTAATAGTGGTTTTGCAATAGCTAGTTAGGATTCTCTGTGTCCATCTCTATTAGTGCTGAAACGATAAGATGGATAGCGCGTACGAACGCCCACGGTATAAATTGTAAGTTTAGATTTTCGAAATACATAATGTCCGTACTTTCTTTTTTCCTCCTAACTCATTATCGATTAGCATTGCTGCTACACGAGACTATTTTGGCGTGACACGAGACACGAATGAGGAAGAAGTATATTTAATTTATTGTTATCTCCTCGAATGATACTATTAAAACCTATTCTTTCCAAATGGTATCGTTGTATATAATAGATTTAAGAACGTACACGGTATGTAAAGTTGTAATTGTTTAACCGAGTTAAGATTTTATGATGTTCGAAGTAACCAGCATGAAAATCTTTCTAAAAGATTAGAGAAAAACGTGCTTGAAAACTGAGAAAATAAATTTTGGGACCCAAAATTGTCCGATTCTTTTTTGTTTTGTTCTTTTTTCTTAAATAACAATGTTCTATTGTCGATCATAAATCATCATTGAAAATGTGAACGCGATTGATTATTGTACTTTTTGTACATAATTTCTTACATTGAAACGATGTTAAACTATTGTTTACGAGATAAAAACAGTTCTGTATGAGATCAATCGTACATTGCTGGAAAGATATTGCTTGTAATTAGACTTTGTCTAGCGACGAAGCGACCTAAGACATGCCAGAGACACAAGCGTATTAAAGAAAATTGATTAATGTTTAAGTTGATCATTCGTCGATTAGTGTACTTTCACGAACGCATTAATTCCGGAATATTAATAGACGAGTATACTCTTTTAAGTTAACACGGAGAACAGTGTTGCGGGGTAATCGTAAAACCAAACGAACTAACTTATAGATTTAAACGGTTCGGAAAGAGGGAGAAGCATTTACAATAGTTTTCCACAGGAAGAACGACCGATTTCAGTGTCTGCTTCGACGAAGTCACTTGTTATTTATGATATATACATATATTTGATTTCGTGAAGCGGTCAAGAAGATCGATTTAAGAAGCCAAGTCAAAGTTCTCATGGTATACATATAGTGATAAATGCTAGCTATTCTTCACGAGTAATTAACGTGTCACTATACACAGTATTTATGTAAATATACGAGAGTATGGTAGAATATATGAATAACATTTACAATTCAGCCAGCGACTGATTTTTGTAATTGTTTACATCATTAGTCCTCCAAATTATTTTCTGTAAAGAATGTTCGCGATCCCAAAAGCGTTGTTAAATAGATTCTAGTTTGTGTATAAAAATTTATTATGTATAACTTAATAAATTAGTACATACACGAAATATTATTCATGATGAAAAGCGACCATGTATTTTCACTTCGAAAATAATTATACACGTAAGAAGCATCGATGAATTTTGTTAGAACACCAAGTTTTCGCGAATGTGGATTACAGTGTAAATTCCAAAACGGGTCTAATAACGAGAATCGCGGTTCGACTAGGACAATTGGCAGGTGTACATTATTTTGAATGGAGGGGATGGAGGATGTTAAGGACTGAGAAATTGTTAGCGCCGTATGAAAACGTATTATATGTATTTTACATATTAATTAAATTTCAGTCACCAAAATAGATTCCATGTTATAACATGTTTGTTCATGTAATCAATTCTGTTTTCTAATCCGCTGGATTATTAAAAGGACTTATATCATGCTTCGTGTATATTGAAAATACAAACTATATATTTATGCATAAACAAATTAATACCTATTAAACGTAAATTGTCTCACTGAATGCGATTTGTATGTACACGTGAGTTTGATGAATTCACGTGTACATATAAAGTATGCACGTACACAACTGAATCTACTGAAAAACTTTCAAAATTAACATAATAAAAGTTTCTTAATTAAAAAAGAAAAATAATGTAACGTTTTTATGGCTTGTATGAACTTTCAGTATTTCCAAATGCAGGTACATGCTTTATAAATATTGGAAGTATTGAACATCGTTTATTGAATGAAATAAGTGCAAACGCAATGGATTAACAAAAATGGAAGTAATTTGTATATATATTTAAAAACCGTATTATACATACTATTATTATATACATATTTATACGACTTTATAATTACGATTGCAAACAAAACCAGATGACACTGTTATTATCAAAAAGAAAATTCCGCATACTTTTTGTTTAAACACACTGTAAACTAAAAAATGAAAATCCAGATTCATTACACAGATTACACAAATGCTTGGTACCTTATTACTGTACATCATAGTTACCCCCTCATATCAAGTTTGTCTTTAAAAAAATGATCGATAATCGTATTAATGAGTGGCGACGTGATTTTGCAAGTCTTCGAGAGTGGTAAACGGTTTGTCACACAGCTGGCAAACGTGGGCATTGGCGTTGTGGATGTCCAAATGTTCTGATAAATCGTCTTCCGTTTCGAAAAGCTCGTCGCAGATCAAGCATTGGAATTCGTAAGCCTTTATCCCCTGTTTCTCCCATTCCGCAATCGCTGCTTCCTCCTCGTGAGCCTGCATATGCATTTCCAGCAACATTTCCGAATTGTATGCTTCAGTGCATTGGAGACACTGAAAAACCTCGTCCCTCGACTTGTTGCTCTCATTGGATATGTTAATGAGATCCGGGTTATCGTCCTCCTTCGCATCCAAGTGTTTGTCAATATGTGCGTCCAACGCGTCGTCTGATTCTAGCGACTCGCCACAAATCGCGCATCCGTATTGCTCCTTGCCGGGGCTCTGATCGTCCTCGCTCATCGGGGCTCGTCCGGGGCTCATATCGTCGCAGTGTTTTTGCAAATGATCTTTCAATATTTCTTCGTCAGTGAATATCTTATCGCATACAAAACAAGTATATGTCTCCTTTGGTCTTTCTAATTCAGGTACTTCTTTTATCTTAGTTTCCTCTGACTGCTGCTCGACGCAGCTCGGCGGCTCTTCCAATCTTGAATTATCTTTAGGAAGTTGAACAGTGTCAGATTTCGTTGGGGTCAGTTTCTGAGGCTCTCCCTTCGTTACGTTATCAATACTGAACTCGGATTGATCGTGTGTTTCCAAGTGCTGCACCAGAAGCTTCTCAGTACGGAAAGTAGAATTGCAGACGTAACATTTATGGGCCTGTTGCCTGCTCGACTTGCACACGTGTGCTTTCACGAATCTGGCTTCGACTATTTCGTGACACCTCTTGCAGCGCATCATTTTGTGTTTATTTGCCCGTGAGCCTGCCTCAGCTTTGTGGATGCGAACATGTGCAATGGCTTCGACGCGGCTGTCGAACGCTTGACCGCACACGCCGCAGCCGTGCTTCTCGCCGCTCGATGATGTTACCTTAAAAACGTTTTCTTGGGTTTCGGCCTTTTGCTCGTTCTTAGCGTCGCTGAAGTCCGCTCTCAACTCTTCTTCCTGTTTCGCTTGCGTCCTATGCTCCAGCGTATTCTGTCGATTATTCTCTGATCTGGACGTATCGGACTCTGAGAAGTATGAGTCGGAGTCCAAAGCAGAAGTGTTGTAATCGTTGTACCTGATCGGTGGTACGCTCTGCCTTTTATGAGAAACCATACTGAACGGTCCGCCCAATTTACCTTTGACAGTACGCTTAAACGCCGCGTGGACATTGTTAATATTGAATTTCTGGCTTTCCTTCGCTATGTTCAAACGTTTCAGTACAATCCTCGGCTGATATTTAGCCGAATTCACAGCCGCTTTCACGAAATCCGGTGAAACTGTGCCAGATTGATGAGCAAGCGATTTAAAATTAATACCACAATTTTTCATCACAGAATTCTCAAAATTTTTCTTTATAGCCTTCTCGACTATGGTTTTCAACTGTTGGTTCAAAGACTCGAACAAGGTTTCAGAAGCGGGGTCCTTCGGATCATCCGTTCCTCCGAACAATCTCTGTTTCATTTCCTTTTGAACGAAAACAGCTAGTTCTAATTGTACGCGTCTCAACGGTAACGCCTCCGAACCCTCGATTACTATATTCAAACATCTTTCTACACATTTTTTGTCCGCGTCTGTGGGAATAGGATTTTTTCGACGCAACTGCACGGCATCAATGATGTCCGTATTTTTTTCTCGCGAATTTGGTTCGATGCTGCCGTTCTTTATTTCCTTTGATAATGTGTTCAAATTCTCTTTGTTCAAGTAATGAGATTCCGTGGGTGTTAACGTGGACGTGATGATATACTTAGCGTCGCCAACGTCTAGTTCCGACTTAGTGAAACACGGAACGAATGCTTCTTGCGCAGCATTCATCCGATCATTTTTCAACGACTTCTCTTTGGCAGTTTTCTCCGGCAGCGACGCGAGTAAACTTTCTTTCTTGTCTTTTTTCTTACCCCCGCTCCGTTTAGATCTGATTAAAGACGCGCATCTACTTTCATTTGACGAACTATCGGAATCTATGAAGTATCTCTTTCTACGCGCCTCGAAATCGGTGTCTATAATATGCTCATTCTGAACGGCGCACTTATCTGTCAAAGTGGTATCCGAGTTTTTCAGCGTCCGTATCAGTCGCTTCTGCTTCTCGGCCTCCTTGTCCAAGTTTGTTTTCGCTCGCGCCTTCTGCACCGGCGAGAGTTCCGTATCGTCCGACCCCATGGAATCCGTGTCGGAAACGCTCTCGCCCGTTGCTGCCAGAAGTGCCTTCTTCCTCGCGACCCACCTCTTAGTCGAAGCCATTCTTCTCTCCATCATGTTGCGCTTTCCGCTTATCGTCAGTGGTTTAGTCTTTGAAGTTGAATTCGATTTCAATGAATTACCGTTTTTGTTCTCTTGTTTCTCTTCTTTCTTGCATTTATCATCTGCAGCTTTCTGTGAAGAGTCCTTCGAAGATGTCCCATCATTATCTGATAGAAACATATCGTTTAGCATTGCTTGGTCCCTTATATCATCTGCATTCCTCGAATCCTCACGTGTCAAAGATGGCAGGTTGCTTTGTGGTTTTTTCTGAAACATTCATTAAGATTTAACAATAAATATATAGAATAAGTCAATAACAAGTATCATATAGTAAGTCGTTTAATGATTTTATCAAGAATGCATGAATTCATTCAAAGATCATTAAATTGAAATGCATTTCTATCTAGCTTCACACTACAATCAATAAACCAATAGATGATTTAAATAATATTCCTCGGGCTGTATAATTTTCAAATTTACCTTCAGGGAAGAATCGGAAAGGCTATCTTCTCCACCTTGTTCTAACTCCTTGTGCGCCTTCTTCAATGGCAGATTCTACCAGAAAATTAACGTCATATATAAAATGTACAAGAACTGCTTTGAGTATATGTAAATACATATACATAAGGCAGATTATACTATCGAAATACTTAAGAGCTCAATCTTTTTCTCAGAAATAAACAATCTTACCTCATCGTCAGAAGCATCTATCACCTCTAATTGACTCAGCAGCATTTGATTTGAACGTATGAATTGCTCTTTAAATTCGTTCCACATATCCAACTTGTAAAGGCACACGTAGCAAACGATGTTCGGTAGACCGTGTTCATCCTTGATCTAAAATAACAAGATGGACAATAATTATGAAACAAGAGAAAAAAGCACATGAGAGATATGAAAAATGAAAGCAGCAGTATAAACATACATCAATGGATGTACATTTGGTCAGATCATTCATTTTCGACTGTAACTCTTCATCGAATAAACTCGTGGTGCATCCGTTGTCGACCAGGCAAATGCGGCACCGATCCCTTATATTCAATAATTTCCGCTTCCTCGACATTTCGAATTGTTTCGTGGAAAAACTAACGAGCAATGAATTGCTGAATATCTCTAATGCGAATAAGGAAGATGTCGAATCACATTATACACCTGTGGACCTGTAGCCGAATTGAGACCGGACGACCGAACTCACCGAACCACAAACTGTAATTGAGCGATCTGAAGGAAGCTATGGAAGCTACTGACGAAATATGGCGGACGGACACAGGCGACAGAAGAAGCATGAGATTACTGTATACATGAACGGGGAACCAAACAAAATCACCCATACACATTATCGCGCGAGCTGCCTATTCGTCAGTTCGGAGCTCGACAACGAAATTAAAGACAGAAGGCAAGTATCACTATTGGCGGGTGTTATGAATGAAATCGATAGAGAAACACGTGGAAACGTACCAAACGGAGTCTCTGATAAATGAAAATGAAGGAAAACTTTATCGCGAAAACTATAGACGATTATTTATTGAAATATCCGTTATGGTTTTCATTTATGAAGTCTATCAATATTTCTGGGCATCATCTCTTCATCGCAGCAGCCTCGATCGTATCCCCTTCTTTCGGCTCTCTGTCATATTAGTTACGTGGTTGGTCACGTCGGTTACGTCGTGGTGTGGTGTGAATCAGTGTGAATCGTGCATGTACTGCCCGTTGCTTGTGTGATTGTGCGGTGTGTAACCTGTAATCTGGAACATAAGTTTAGTCTGGTTTTCGTTCAATTGCATGTGTACGATTCATCGAATTGTTTCTGTGTTGCAAGAAGCGAAATTTAGAATCCCCCACAGAAATTACGTAATGTAAGTAACTTAATTTTTACATTAAAACACTTTTATTTGAGCGCATCATGCATTTTCAGCCGGCTCGTTCTAAACAAGTAATATAATTGTTTAATGCTAGTATCAACTCATTATTTTAATCCTGTTATTTTAACCTGTTCGATAATTCATTGAACATATCAAAGAAAGTGTTATCAGACTTATAACTGCAATCAAGTTGGTTAATATGACATCGCGTGTGAATCACGTGGCCGAAACGCTAGTGTCACTTAATTTTCATTTGACATATTGTTAAACGTATTGTTTAACGTGAAAGATATACTTATTTGTTTTCAGAGTTGCGACAATGGTTGAATTAAAGTGGGAAGAGAAATATGAATTGATCACTAGAAATTTAGCTGAGTGGCTCGGCGATGAGAAACTTAAAGGCATATTGAAACAGCGGGATTTGAAACTATATTGGGGCACAGCAACAACTGGGAAACCACACATCGGCTATTTCACCCCGATGTCCAAGATAGCAGATTTCTTAAGAGCTGGCACAGAGGTTACCATATTGTTCGCTGATCTCCATGCCTATTTGGATAACATGAAAGCACCATGGGAACTGTTACAACTCCGGACGCAATATTATGAAACTGTTATCAAGGCAATGCTGAAATCTATCGATGTACCCTTGGAAAAGCTAAAATTTGTTAAAGGAACAGATTACCAGTTGTCTAAGTAAGTGTTCAATCCAAAGTTATAATTATAGTTCACTAGTTTGTTTTAGGAATTGTTTTATACGTTTGTAAAATGAATTGTTTTTCTGTTACAGAGAATACACGTTAGATATGTATCGTTTAAGTTCTGTTGTAACTGAACACGACGCTAAGAAGGCAGGTGCTGAAGTCGTTAAGCAGGTTGCAAACCCTTTGCTCTCTGGCCTGATGTATCCAGGATTGCAAGCTTTGGATGAACAGTACCTTAAAGTTGATGCTCAATTTGGTGGAGTAGACCAGAGAAAGATTTTCACTTTCTCAGAGAAATACTTGCCCACGCTTGGATATGAGAAGCGTATTCATTTGATGAACCCAATGAGTGCGTATGCCATCGATTATATTACTTTATAATAACATGTAGAATATTTCTTTTAAAATTAATAAAGTATCATTTTAGTCCCTGGCTTGGCGGGATCGAAAATGTCTTCTTCAGAGGAAGACTCGAAAATCGATTTGTTGGATAATGCTGCAGCTGTTAAAAAGAAATTGAAGAAGGCATTCTGCGAGCCTGGTAACGTGATCGACAACGGAATTCTCTCGTTCGCCAAACACGTGATATATCCTTTATTCAAAGAAGGGGAATCTTTCAATGTACCAAGAACTGCCGAATTCGGTAGGTTCGTCTTGCTTCGAATCATCAATAAACGTTCACATTTGCACGTTACAAGTAATAGTAAAGAGGAACGTTTGCTTTCAGGCGGAGATATATCGTTTGACAAGTACGAAGATTTGGAAAATGCTTTTGCTAAAGAAGTGATACATCCTGGTGATCTGAAGAGCGCGGTGGAGATTTATATTAATAGACTCTTGGATCCAATTAGGAAAGAATTCGAAGTGGATCCGAAATTAAAGAGCCTGGCGAGCAAAGCATACCCAGTACAAAAACCAAGTAATGATCGATATATAAGATACTAACAGAATTCTAATAATCCAGTGCGATCAGACGTTGCTAGTCTGTTACTGGTTTATTTGAATAGTATGGCGAATATTGAACAGTATTTAAATAATAACTTATTAACGGATTTGTTTAGAAGTCGTCGAGGAATTAACACCGGCCAGATTAGATATCAGAGTTGGCCAAATTGTTGAAGTATCGAAACATCCGGATGCCGACTCTCTTTACATAGAAAAGATAGATCTTGGAGAAGCAAACGGACCTCGTACGATTGTTAGCGGACTTGTAAATTACGTACCATTAGAAGAAATGAAGGACAGGATGGTAGTTATTCTTGCGAATCTAAAACCGGCGACGTTAAGGGGAGTCCAATCCCATGGAATGGTCTTATGTGCCTCAGTGTACGTATTAATTCCTATGACTATTATCAACAGACTTTACATAAAGATGAGATTTCATGAATTTCAAACATGCAATTCAAGTGAGAACATTTTGTATGTACAGGGATGAACCTGTGAAACGAGTTGAGCCACTGAGACCGCCGGCAGGTAGCAAACCTGGCGACAAAGTCGCCGTCGATGGCTACGAAGACGGTTCGCCGGACGATGTACTTAATCCCAAGAAGAAAGTATGGGAAAAATTACAAGTACGTATACAATAGACACGTACACATATTTATGTATTTACGTATTAGATTAGTTTAAAGTTCGTATATTTCGTATAGGTTGATCTTGTGGTGAACGGCAGTGGCGAGGCTTCCTGGTGTGGGAATCTTTTGCTTACTGCAGCCGGTGGCAAGCTGACGGCCGACAGTTTAAAGAACGTATCCATTAAATAAGTAACACTTCGAGCAGAGATAGGTATTCATGCATTTTTATTTTTTATTCGGTATATAAAACTATATAGAATTTTGATTTCTGTGTACGAAATGTATATGAAACTGCCGGTCACATTCTCTTCGGTTGTATCACGATTTTATATTTTTTACAATATGAGTAACGCAACATGAAAATAGATCTGCGATTTATGGGAGAAGCTCTTCGCCTTACCTTATCCTTAAAGTTTAAGGAATATAAAATAGTGTGACGAATTAGTCACGTGGTCGAAATAAACTCTTCGTATTTAGCGTATTCCTCTTTATATTTCAACAAATTTTACTGTAGTTTATTTTATAGCGTGTCTATCGTTATGACGCACAGGGGGATCGTGGCTGTAGATCACGAACGTTCTGTGGATTTAAATGCGAAACATTGCATGGTTTCGATTCGTGTTCCTTCTTCTTTCGAATTAGCCATGCTGTCGCGGGACATGATGCTAATTCCTTCCTTAATGAGCTACTGCTGCAACCGTAAAGTAAAGGGTTTATCGCTGCATTGGCTAGTATCAAGTATCTACTGCTATACCTGAAAAAAAAAATTGCAAAAGTTCTGCATTCGCTTAAGGATGTATTAGCAATACAGTCAATCCCAAAAGTTTATGTACCTTAGAAAACGCATTTCCTATAATTAAAAAAAAAAATCAGACGTCAGAAGAACAATGCTAATAATAAATAGCTACATGCTAAAAAGTATAGAAGGAAATATCTAATTAAGTATTGACGCTGACGAAAAATTTTTTCTTCAAAATTTCGAAAGATGCTTCAAATAAAAGTTGTTTTCCTTCTAATTTCGATATTTAACGAGTTACGTATGATTATTTGGCATTTTATTGATGTTGACAAAATCCGACCATCCCAGCGTCGAAACAGCGAACTTTTGGAAAAAAATTTCGTTTTTTGCCTATAACTCCCAAACGGATGGACGTAGGGGGCATGTATAGGACCATTTTGTAGGGGACGACGAGATCTACAATTTCCATGTAAAAATTCTTCGCTAGCGTCAATATTTAACGAGTTATTGACGAAAAACGAAAAAACAGTTTTTTACAAATAACTCGTTAACTATTGACGCTAGCGAAAAAATTTTACGTGGAAATGATAGATCTCGTCGTCCTCTACAAGAAAGGTCTGATGCAATTTTTCCGTATGTCCAACGGTTTGGGAGTTATTGGCCAAAAACGAAAATTTGGAAGAAATTGAAGGGGTACCCCTTGGAAAAATCTCGGAAAAATCGAAAATTGTTTTTTTGTTTATTATGAGCAATGTTCTTCCGACGTCTGATTTCTTTTTAAAAAATGCGTTTCAAAAGTGCATAAAGTGACTGTATAGCCAATACATCCTTAAACAAAATTATATTTTCCTTCAATAAAATTGACAATTGAGGTATGCAAAAGTAACGAATAAAACAGGAGGCGAACGATAAAGCAAAGAAATTTTGCATTATTAATTTAACAAACAGATAAACTTAGTTTTTCATTCGCAAACGAGGTATTTAATTTTTTAATTTAATTTAATTTCCCTTTGACCCTCCGACTACTAAAGCGAGAATTCTTATACCGGCGCATATACATGGCTCGCACCGGTCACATCTATAATTTACTAACATATATTTGCATCCTTCTCACGCTTACTCAAAAGACGAGATACCTTACATACACACCGTTCCATCACTGTGTACGTTATCACTGCCGAGAATCGGAGTTCGGCGGATCCCGTTACTTCCTCACAATAGAAGAAAGAAAAAACGTTCAATAAAAACATTCGCAGTAAAAAATTAAAAAAAGCAGATGAAAACAACCGATAGCCGAAGCGGAGAAGTCTCCTGCTTGAAAAACCGTAGCCTGAAAAAAGCCTGAGTTTTTCTGAGCGCCGCTTTTTACTCGCACGTCGACCGGTTCTCGGACCTGCCCCAATCTCTACCAACCGGTCTGCAGTGTCTACACACCGGAGACTCGTAACTGGGTCACTGTGCCAAACGCTACGCCTAAACTTTGGAAGCCTGTATCTCCGGAACGGATTGAGATATCGGGATGAATCAAAAAGCGTTTTTTTCTTGTCTCGACTTGTTCTATCAACTAAGAGAACCTTCAGTCATAAATTTAGTCCTTCTATAAGTAGTCGGAGGGTCAATCCTAATAGAAATTGAAGATTTTTAATAGGCGATCACCATAATAGATACAGTGTTTCCTCTTGTCCGGCCTTTGACGTTTCCTTCAGCAGTTGGGCTCTTCTAATTATCAACGCGGTGAACGGCACGCGGCATAGAATGAATACCAAAACGATAAGCGCTAGTACTTGTGCCACTCTACCCTTGTATTTCACAACGATAGGGTACTTGCTTCTTAACGCTTGCGATTCGTAACGATCTATCTATAAAATTAGAATGACAGCAGGTATAGATGTACGTATTCGAAACGGGCATTACTTTTTCGGCAACTTCACGTGTAGATTTGTAAAGAGAATTACTTTTATCAGAATGGCTGAGTAACATATTGCCATGATTCCCAATGGTGCCCATACGCTCAAGCCTGCGAAAATATGCCAGTACGGGTAGACGAGCACAGTGTCCTCGGTACAATACGTCTCCAAATAATTTATCCATTGTCTTTCGTGATAATGTCGAAAGCAGATCAGGGGAATAGCGACGACCATCGCAGAGATCCACGTAAAGACGAGCATAATGCACGTGGTCCTTCGATATTTACAAAATTATACTAAAAGCTTTTCTACGTTCGGGTACATCCGGTGACAATAATTACCTCAACGATAATTTGTTGCTACGATTGAAAACGATAGCTGAAACGCGATTGTAGCTGATACCGCTTAGATTGAATACGGCTACTAAAGTTAAAGCGTGGACGAACGCTCCGTCCAGCCGGCAACCGACATCCCCCAAAATATAGTTTTGAAAGAAATCATAACAGAGGAACATCCACGGACCTATCAAGCAGGTACCGAAGTCCGCGACGCACATGTTCGCAATCAACAGGTTCGTGGCTGTGTGAAGCGATTTCTGTTTAATCACGGAATAGATCAACCCGCCGTTGGCCAAGCTTCCGATCACCATGATAGGTAGAACGCTGGCGATCTTTAGAATCACCTCCCACGTAGATCGTATCACCCAAATTTCTGATGGGAACGGATACTTACTGGTATCAACATTCTCCCACTGGTAATCAGAATTGAGAGAATTGTCAGATTGGAGGTGATCAAGGAATAATTCACTATGGATTTCATGCACTTAGATTTAGTTGTGTAAAATGCATAAGATGATTAAAAATATTTATACGATGTTATTTTGTCACTACAATAGTAAAACGAAAATATTATACTTCTGTACTTCTGCCCAAATTGGCATCAAATGGATTCTTCATGCGGATGCTTTGCTGCATGTCCACTGTCGAACTTTCGTTTAGGAGAATCCAAAAATCCATGGCCACGTGAAAATATATGAACTTACGGAATTCTAATCGAATACTGACGTTAAAAGCTTACAAAGTTGTGATTCAGTGGGTTTATTCTGAGTGCAACAGATGGTGCATTAACATCATTGAGAGTGGAGCCTGTTTACTCGCCACTTTAAGCGATGGTAAGACGCAAAAGAAAAAATTTGTTAAAAATATCGAATTCTACAACTGGATGTGAGTTTTATGCATCCATTATGTATCGTTTGTATTTCACATATGACATTGTAAAAGAATTGTAATTTTTACAAGAGAAAATAAAATTCGAAGTTGTATTCGTGGGGTTGACCC